GCGTCACCTGTTTTGATGCAGTAATCTGTTAGCATTTTTCGCTCGTTGCTAATTCAGAGGCTCAGTGTTAGCATTGTGTTTTTTTTTTTTTTAAATAAATTAAAATGATCAGTTTGATGAGTTTCTTCCCGTTACATGGATATAAAACATTCATAGTTTATTAAATGAACATGCCCTCAGACACTGTTTCCTGCAAGATGTTGCGGCAGTGCCCCGGTACCGGGGTCTCTCGGGCTTAACAGGTTAAAGACTGGACTTTTTAATTCAGTCAAGAGAAGAGAAAAGAGAATAAAGGAAAGAAAATTGTTATAAGGGGTGATGCAAACAGATAATGCCTTTATCTAGAGAGCCAATGACACCCATGAAGAATTGCAAATCTTTTCATCTGCTGTATTAATAAAATTGCCATTTGTTTTCAAATTGAAAATAAGGCACTATCAGCCCAGAACATTATATAAAATATATATATATTTTAAAAGGTCTATAATGTTATATATAGATCTTTATATGATATCAATATTATAATAAACTTCAACCAAAGTCAATTTCAGGAGTGGTGTTTTACATAGTTTACGTTCAATTTCAACTATTTTAGTCTTATATTGACTCAACCTTTTTAAATAATTTACTTTAATTTAGAAAAGGTTTTTCTGAGAAAAATGTACTAAAAAATTGAAAAATATAAGTTTAATAGGACGATGTGGATCTATTTCTCTCACCTTGTAATTACACAATCAAAGAATCTATAATACGGCTTTGGACTACACTCACCAAAAAACATTTGTTTTAATGTTTTGCATTTGTACTATTTTGTTGAAGGATATCTAATTTCTCTAAATGCACACGGGATATATCCAGTCTCTGATTGTGTTACGTTATCATACTTGTTTGATTCTGAAATTGTACATATCTATATAAATATACGTTATTATGAGAGTGCTCTCATACTTGTTTGATTCTGAAATTGTATATATTTATATAAATATATGTGTGTGTATATGTCCGCATCTGTAGCCTGTTATTGTCTAATTATACCGCACTGTGAATGAATTAAAAGTAAATATATAATTCGTCATGAACACATCTGTCCATCAGACAGAGTGCTGCTGTGCCTCCTGTCATCATTAACAGACGTCTCTTTAAAATGACCCCTCAGAGGAGAGGATTTCTCATTTCTCTAAACGCCTGCTGCTTCCACTCCTCTCTCCTCGGTTCCCCTCCTCGGTTCCCCTCCTCGACTCCTCCGCTCGCATCTCCTGTGGGCGGGACTAAGACACGAGGATAGGAGTCGAGGAGGGGAAATTAGATAATTGAGAAGCCTTCAATGAGTGGTGTACTTGTTTTAACAGTAAGAACAGAAAAACTAAAAAACGACCCGTTTCTGTTTTTTTGGTTTTTTAAACAAGAACTAAAAAACGGTTAAAACGTACCTTCGTCGTTCTTCAACCGTTTTATATGTTATCTTAATCTGAACAAACAATATACTGTAATGTATCAAGTCTTTTTTGGTTCATTTCATTATTTAGATTTCAATTAAGAAAAATGTTTCTCTTCTATTCTCAAAAACTATGCTCAAAGGGTGATTTGTTTAGCGCATGCTCAGTACCCAATCAATTCCGTGAGAGCAACAGCACAGTGTCATTTGCATTGGATGAATATAAATAGACCACGCTGTGACTCGGTAATATTATTCTACTTTGTCAACCCTCAACCGTTGATCATGCCTGAAGCAGCCAGCGTCAAAGCGCCCAAGAAGGGCTCAAAGAAAGCCGTCTCCAAGACCGCCACCAAGACCGGAAAGAAGAGGAGGAAGTCCAGGAAGGAAAGCTACGCCATCTATGTTTACAAGGTGATGAAGCAGGTCCACCCCGACACCGGCATCTCCTCCAAGGCCATGGGCATCATGAACTGCTTCGTGAGCGACATCTTTGAGCGCATCGCCGGTGAGGCCTCTCGCCTGGCTCACTACAACAAGCGCTCCACCATCACCTCCAGGGAGATCCAGACCGCTGTCCGCCTGCTGCTGCCCGGAGAGCTGGCTAAACACGCAGTGTCTGAGGGCACCAAGGCCGTGACCAAGTACACCAGCTCCAAGTAAACTGCTGCCGCTACTGCTACAAACCAACGGCTCTTTTAAGAGCCACCCACTTCATCTACTGCTGCTTTCCTCTTACAAAGTGTCTATACGTCAACATAATTGCCATTTTAATACAACTAAAATAATACATTGTGCAAGTGAAGACCCTTCTTTTTTTTTTTAAAAAGCTGGTTTTTAAATTATTTATTGGTGGTAATGACATTAAACTGCCATGCTCACTTGGATCATCTTCCTGTGATCTGGCTTTTACTATTTACATTTTGTTTGACTTATTTGGCAGTATTTTTACATATTTTTGTTTGTGTTGTACATCACTTCTACCTGGAGGTTTTAAAATGCTTTACAAATAAAGCTATATTAAGTGCTGCAAATATAATAATGTATGTAGAGTGATGCGAATGAGAATAGGTTTTATTACCAAGTAGGTTAACACAAAAAGGTATTTGCTTTGGTATATTTGGTGCATACAAAGACACATAATGAATAATACATAGCAAAACAATTAAAATCAAAATATGAAATAAGAGATGTCCTCAAAATATTAAAGATAAAAAAAATAGACATTACACAAATTACAATCTACACAAATAAGTTACAACTGATGATCATTTTTTCCCTTTAAATATTTAGCCCAAACGTTACATGTACATGCATGTATTTAGATGGGTGTGCAATTTGAGTTATAATACGAAATATATTATTTAATAAGTAAATTACACACTGTAAATAATCATTAAGTATGACAGCTTTTTGAATGTCTTAATGTTATCTGCACATTGAGACTTTCGCTTCTTACATTACAGGAGTTTATATTCATCTGTGAACGGGTGAAAACAATTTCAGAAAATTCAGTCTCATTCTGAAAAGAATTCAGGCGGCAGACCGACCTGTTTTCTGATTGGACGATCACAGTTACGGATCAATCTGACCAATGAGCGTACAGCTGCGCTCCTATATAAACTGGTGAGAACTGTGATCGAGTTACTTTCTTCTTAACGTCGAAGAATAATCACATAGAAAATGTCAGGCCGAGGCAAAGGTGCAGGAAAGGTTAGGGCGAAGGCCAAGACTCGCTCATCCCGTGCCGGGCTCCAGTTCCCCGTCGGCCGTGTCCACAGGCATCTGAGGAAGGGTAACTACGCCCATCGTGTCGGTGCCGGAGCCCCTGTGTACCTGGCCGCTGTGCTGGAGTACCTGACCGCTGAGATCCTGGAGCTGGCTGGAAACGCCGCCCGGGACAACAAGAAGAGCCGTATCATCCCCCGTCACCTGCAGCTCGCCGTCCGCAACGACGAGGAGCTCAACAAGCTGCTGGGAGGAGTGACCATCGCTCAGGGAGGTGTGCTGCCCAACATCCAGGCTGTGCTGCTGCCCAAGAAGACCGAGAAGGCTGCCAAGAAGTGAACACCCTGATCCCGCTTCAACAAACAACAAAGGCTCTTTTAAGAGCCACCCACTTCTAACTAAAGCACATTCCCCTCTTCACTACACAACTACTTAATGGCCCAGAACAGTAATCTCCCCCCTTGCCCTATATGTATTGAGGTGTACAACATACACAACATGTCGTATATTACACCAAGTCACTCGACTAAAAACACCCACATTATAGAGCAATATAAATTTGAAACAACCCCAAATTACTACTAATGATATCATCTGCATTTCAGGTTGTAGCCTCTATACAGTAAAGTCTAATTTCAACTAAAGCAAACTCCTTTTAACACTTTCCTTCGTACATCCAGCAGGTTCATCACATTCTCAAATGAATAGCGGTGTGGTTTCTACATCCGTCTGTCCACATGCATAAAGCCACAACGTTTGTTGGACCCATCATTAATGTTTAATGTTTTATGTAGTTTACACTACACTATATCAGTATTACTTATTGGCAGGTGTCTGCAGAATAGCGTACCGTAACATTTAAGCACTCGATTGTATCTTTTGCCCACACGCACATTGAAATGAATACAACTGGTTATATTTAGTTCCAGCCTCTATCCACCAGATGTCAGTGTTCACCAACAAATGTTTGGAGCAGAACGAAAACAGTGGCTCTATTGTAGTGGAATAAATATGAACACATTTGTCTTTCTAACAGTTCTTTATTTATTTTGTATTAGCATTTTAAGAAATAAGGTACATCTAGGTACATATATTAATGATGTTATTATCTCTTAGCCAATTAGCAGTTCTTTAATGTGACCATTGTATATTATACCGTTAGGAGTTAGTTTAGTAGCTCTAAAACATACATGGCACAAACTATTATACAGCACTATTTCAAGATTAGATAAGCATGTAAATAGTAACATCTTGAAGAACATTGTTTAAACTAAACTGTATTTTAGACATCCCACAGTTAGATGCAAGTGTCTTATGAAATGACACACTGAAAGTGTCCACTCGAGGTATACACCATTATCGACTATAATGTTCAAACACGAATACGACAGTGTACACCTGATATGTTGCTTTACATACATATACCCATAAATGGGTACATTTCAAGACTTGTTCATATATCTCAGAACTAATAATTATAAACAAGTTTAAAGACCAAAATTATATATTAAATTAGTTGTTTGTATGGGCTTTATCTCAACAAACCACTAGATCTAGCTATAAATGAGAGCGTGCATTACAACCCAGTGGTAGTAGCAATATGGATCAACATTGTAGGCGTTTATCATAATGTGTTACTTTGGACCATGCTTTAAAGGGGACAATCAGTTTATTAAGTATATCCACACATGTATTTCGGACGTTCTGCTCTGTAAGTGTGTGTTTGTGTGGCTCTTAAAAGAGCCGTTGTGTTTCGGTGTTCTGGTCACAGGTCAGTTTAAGCCCTCTCTCCGCGGATGCGGCGGGCCAGCTGGATGTCTTTGGGCATGATGGTGACCCTCTTGGCGTGGATGGCGCACAGGTTGGTGTCCTCGAACAGGCCGACCAGGTAGGCCTCGCTGGACTCCTGCAGAGCCATGACGGCGGAGCTCTGGAAGCGCAGGTCGGTCTTGAAGTCCTGAGCGATCTCCCTCACCAGGCGCTGGAAGGGCAGCTTGCGGATCAGCAGCTCGGTGGACTTCTGGTAGCGGCGGATCTCTCTCAGAGCCACGGTACCGGGCCTGTAACGGTGAGGTTTCTTCACGCCGCCGGTGGCCGGGGCGCTCTTACGGGCAGCCTTGGTGGCCAGCTGCTTCCTGGGAGCCTTTCCGCCGGTGGATTTACGAGCGGTCTGCTTGGTTCTTGCCATGGTTAGCAAGTAAACTCCTCGGAAAGAAAAGTCGAGATGATGTCGACTGGTCTCCGTCGCCTTTATATAGTGAGAGCTGGGGCGGCAACAACACTGATTGGTTCACTGATTATCACGTGATACAGCAGCGCGCCAAGAAAAACTCAAAGTACAAGCGTCAAATAATTTAAGTCATATAACAATAAACAAGGAGTTTTCTTTGCATTAAATAAAAACGATATAATTAGGATTAAACACTCGATTAGTATATTATGAATAACATCAGTCATCATATATCAATTATATTTTTTAAATACTGTTTATGGCTTTACTATTTTCTGCTTGACTAAATGATTGTTATAAATATACACATCCATTATCTATTATTGGTTGACTTTATTTTAATAAAAATACATTTGTATTAAAAAGATAATATTGAATGTATTATTTATTAATTTTATTAAATGAATCCCTACAATAACACATTGACATTGGTCCTGCTTTTCTACTGGCCATACTCACATTTATAATATTTTAAAATGACCATATTTTGTAGCTACAGTGATTGTGAGGAATACATTACTTAGAACTAGTAATCCAGTATAATAACCCATGTATATGTAAATGTCTAATGTATAATAATTATTATAATATATTTTCTATAAAACACGTTAGTATTGTATGCTAAGCAAACTTTTATCAAGGTAGGGTACTTTAGATATGTTTCAGTTATGTGATTATTATTTTTGATATAACTGATATATGGGTACGAATTTAGCTGTTGCGGGTGTGGCATGAGATCATAATATTAAAATATATGATCATGGAACGTGTTCAATAACACATTGGAGCAGTATGTTGTTTCATTCAATCATGTGAAGTTCGAAATACCAAATATGTGAGAAATGTTTCCTTCATATAGTTGCATTTGTACAAAAATACAATATTACAACAGGAGAAGTGCTCTTTTGGTGTATGTGGGTGGCTCTTAAAAGAGCCTTTTGTAGATGAAGTAGATGATCTGTTTACTTCTTCGCTGCTTTCCTGGCTGGTGCCTTCTTCGCTGCTTTGGCAGCTGGTTTAACCACCTTCTTCACAGCTTTCTTGGGGGTCGCTGCCTTCTTGGGGGTCGCTGCCTTCTTGGGTGCTGCCTTCTTGGCCACCTTCTTCGGGCTCTTTGTGATCTTCTTAACGGGGGTTTTCTTGGCAGGAGTAGCAGGCTTCTTCGCCTTCTTGGCTGTTACTGCCTTCTTGGGTGATACTGCCTTCTTAGCGGCTGGCTTCTTAGCGGCGGGTTTCTTCGCTGCTGCTGCTGCCGGCTTCTTGGCTTTGACTGCGGGCTTCTTAGCTACCTTCTTGGGCTTCTCGGCGGGCTTGGCTGCCTTGAAGGAGCCGCTGGCTCCGGATCCCTTGACCTGCACCAGGGCTCCATTCTCCACCAACTTCTTCACGGCGCGTTTCACCTGGTTGGCGTTGTCGATGCCTTTAACGGCCAGCTCCTTCTTCAGGGCGACATAGGAAATCCCTTTACGCTCCTTGGAGGCGGTGACGGCATTCAGCACGAGATCAGCGGCGCTGGGGCCCGCCTTCTTCGGCTTTGTGGCTCTCTTCTTCGGGGACTTGGCGGGTGCGGCGGCGACGGGAGCGGATTCTGCCATGTTGCTTTCAAAGTGGATTCTCTGGTCTTGGTGAGACTGATAGAGAAATCCCAGCAAAGAGCGGAACTTAAACACACCATGAGAACCGTAGAGACTCAATCTCAGCCTGTCTCACAGGAGCAGCAGGCATACTGTGCCACTTTGTGTTTTCTCTTCACGAACAAATGTAATAAAATCACACCTGGAAGGAACCATATATTGTAAACTTCACCTTAAACGATAGCAAAGGAGTTTATGTTCTTGTAAATGGGAAATAAACCATTATATATTTGTATATTATTACTGGGAAGACCTGAACCTTCCCAAACGACTGCCGTGTGAGTCGCTAATCTGTGACTTTCCTCTCTAAATGTCTTCCTAAATACTTTAAAATACTTTGTAATCTCATTCAACCTAGATATATGTTGAGAGTATATGTTTGTTTATAGATTTAAGGTAAAAAACATTAATAGTTTTGATTGAATCTGTATGAAACAGAGGTTCATTTGTACTCTGCAAACACACTCAAAAGAGGCTTAGGTATGTCCTCCTGCTCTGATGGAGAGTCTGTGCGTTTTGTTTATTTCTGCTTTAGAAATCTCGAAATGTAAGATTGTATACAAGTATTTCTTACACATTCAAGTGAATGCACATACAACTCATGTTTATTTATACAACTTATTCTTTACTTTGAAAAGACCTTGAACTTTTCTTATGCAGTAAACCATGTAAGCCTGTTGCATTGTTTTTTAAATATATATTGTGTCTTATACATCATTGATTGTTTATCGCTTTAATAATCCTCACACTTGTATAATCACAATATTATAATTATGTAATATGGTAGCATTTATTACTGTTTGCTGTCATGTTTAAATTGTATTATAATTGGAGCTGGCTCTGAAAAAGTGGTTAATCAATGCTTTAATCTTTAGATTTTCACCACGATGATACTAAAATATTATTATTTAATCACTTAATTTGCTCACAGTTAAAACATCTGAAAAATGTTTAAACACTCTTGCCAATCACATGTATGTATTGGATTTAAATAATACTGTAATTGTGCTTTTAGTAAATTACTTTTGTTTTTATTTACACTGAACAAAAAAATAAACACAACATTTTAATTTTTGCTCCCATTTTTCATGATCTGAAATGAAAGGCAAGGCAAGTTTATTTATATAGCACCTTTCAACACAAAACAATTCAAAGTGCTTTACAAAAATGAAAGGCAGTAAGAGCATTAAGAAATAGTGCAGCAGAAACAAATTATAAAATGACATTTTAAAACACTAATTTAAAAGCAAAGATAATAAAACACGAATAACAAAGGTACATGAATAAAAGTTACAGTGCAGTGTGAGATATGAATATATCAATTGAAAGCAGGGGCACAAATAAAAGTCTTCAGTCTGGATTTAAAAGAAGTAAGAGGACCTGCATGTTTCTGGTAGTTTGTTCCAGATATTTGGAGCATAATTAAAGATCTTTTTCAGTCTGACTTTTTCTATGAACACAAAAGGCATATTTATCTCAAATATTGTTTACAAATGTGTCTAAATCTGTGTTAGTGAGCACTCCTTACCAATATATTCCATCCACCTCACAGGTGGCACATCAACATGATGTCAGTGTCAGCCTTTGAAAAGGAGTGGACCAACATTCCACAATCCACAACCTGTTCAACTCTATATGCAAAGGAGATGTGTTGCACTGCGTGAGGCAAATGGTGGTCTCACCAGAAACTGACTGGTTTTCTGACACCCTACAGTAATACATGTCTCTTTTCAAGATAAAACTGCACATTTTAACCTGTTAAGCCCTGAGCCTGTTTTTCAGGTCTCAGGCTCGAAAATGACATTCCCAGAACAAATGACCATATCTTCCCTTCTAAAAGGGTTAAATTAATAATCTTTTTTCTCAAAGTAATGATAAACCTGTGAGTTGGATGTAGAAAAGTCAGAATCAATATAGATGTTTTTTATTTTAAAGAAAATTCAGATTGAACATAGTAAAAAACTGTAAATTATAATGTCCGTCCAAAAAATATTTGTTACTTATAGTGAAAACTACACTTGGATGATGGTAAGGTAGACTAAAAGCTTTAGGAATCCATAGTACAACATATAATACGTACCCTGTATCAAGATTGATGCAAAACAAGTGACATTTGACCTTTTTAGAGAGGTTTAGCAAAAGAAACCCACTTCTGGGGTCATTTGGGTGGATTTTCCATATCTCTGGCCCCCCTCCGTCGATTTTGCTGATTGACATCTCTTTCTAACCGTCAGAGCCCACTCAAAGAAATGAAATGTTAGATTTACTTAATCTAGTTATGTCAACCGGCTTCACGTAACAAGGCTAAGTAAATAGGAAACAGACTAGTAAACTAATATTTACTTCTTGCATTTAAGTCAATCTTACCTAAGCATCTTAATTAAATGATACATCATACAGTTATGTTGTATTTGCTTAACACAGTTATGTTGAATTTACTTAAATTGTTGTTTTTACTAAACACAATTATGTTGTATTTACTTAACGTTTGCACTCATTTCATTTCATTTCAAACCTTTATTTATCCAGGTGTATCCCATTGAGATCATTGATCTCTTTTTCAAGGGAGACCTGCTCAAGTAGGTTCCACATGAAACATAAAAACATAAACAGAACAACAAAAAGGACATCATACAGCATCATTACAGGGATTACAATTTACATAACTATCCACATGAACAGGTACCAACAGCTTCCGATTGAGTAGCATCCAACCGAGCTTTAAAAACATTTAGTGGCACCAGATTGCTCAGTTTCCATTTCAATTGCAGACTATTCCAAGACAGTGGAGCTGCGCATCTAAATGCTATCTTCCCTAAGACAGTCCTAGCAGTTGGCACATTTAATAAAACCACAGCATGCGATCTCAGGCAGTAGCCACTTACAATTTGCCGTGAGATCAGGGAGCAGATGTAGGATGGAAGTTTCCCTAACATGGCTTTGTATATAAAAATGTACCAGTGACTGAGCCTCCGTACAGTTAGTGAAGGCAGACCAGCCCTTGCATACAGGGTACAGTGATGAGTTAATGCTTTACAGTTTGTCACAAATCTCAGTGCACTGTGATACGCAGCATCTAACTTGACCAGGCAATTGGCAGGTGCATTCATATAAATCAAATCACCATAGTCCAGCACAGGTAAAAAGGTCACAGTGACTAGCCTTTTCCTGGCCTCAAGCGAGAAACAGAACTTGTTCCTGTAGAAGAAACCTAGCCTAACCCTCAGTTTTTTAAGCAGGTTATTTACATGACGTTTAAAAGTGAGGCAATCATCAAGCCAGATACCAAGGTATTTGTAACATGTAACCACTTGAAGTTTTATTCCTTGCGTAGTTACAATATCTAAAACAGGCTCTGGTGTCTTTTTAGCTTTTGAAAAGAGCATTACCTTGGTTTTTATCAACATTTAAAAGAAGCTTTAGTTCAGAGAGCTGAGTCTGAATAATGTTAAAAACAGCTTGCAATTCAACAACAGCCTCCTTAATGGAGAGACCTGCACAGTACATAACGGTATCGTCCGCATCAAAATGTAAGGTTGCTCCATCGACATTTTCACCTAAACTATTGATGTAGATGGAGAATAAAAGTGGACCTAAAACAGAACCTTGAGGAACACCATTAGTAATGTTTAACCACTCAGAAGACAGCCCATCAAAATGAACACATTGGGACCTTTCAGAGAGGTAGTTCACAAACCACCCCACTGCATGACTGGATATGCCAATACTGACCAGCCTCGGCTTCAAAATGCGATGATCGACGGTATCAAACGCTTGCACTGATTTTCCTAACACAGTTAGGTTGTAATTACTTAACACAAATTAGTTCCATTTATGTTGTAGGATTGTGTTATTTGCACTTAACATAATTTAATCCAAATTGCTCTATCAATATAAGTAATTCAAATGACTACAACTCAGTAATTTGTATTCCCCTCACTTTATTTAAAAATGTTCATTTTAGACAAAGTGCAGTAGTGTACACTTATAACATTGCATTTTGCAAACAACCATCTGAATTGCCACAACAATTCAACAACAAAAAAACACTTAACTCCGAGAGCCCATTGGTGTTAGGTGCACATATTAGAATTTTAAAGCTCTCTGCGTAAAAAACCCACAGCTTCTGAATTTGACAGTGATGAGAAACACGAGTGACTCAAGAAGTTAACATGTGGGCTGAAAGGCTACAACAATGACTTATTATATGAACATTTTATAAAATGCAACTTTACTATGAAGTATGGTGTTTTTATGTCTTTCCAAAGGATGAAACGCATCACATAATATTGCTCAAGCACATCATGTGTTACAGTAGATCTTTGCCTCTGTTATACACATGCAGGGTTGGGAGGGTTACTTTGTAAATGTAATCAGTTACTGATTACTGAATACATGGCTCTGAAAGTAATCCGAATACAGTTACAGTTACGTGTCTTAAAAAAGTAATCAGATTACTTTTAGATTACTTTTGGATTACTTTCTTTTTCCATCACAGATGGGTATGTTTTGGTGCACAGGAGACACAAAAAGCAAAAGGAAACTGAATGTGTTTTTACTGTTTTAATGGCTTATCAAGAGCACAACTGAAACATAACATCTGAAACTATGTAACAACATAATACACTTTTTGGGGATGCAGCTTGGGATGTGAGGTGATCAACTAGTCATGGCTTGTTTTTATACAACACTGGATTTAACAAAAGACTTCTGGCAGATTCCCCTGTCTCACAGCCCGAGGGAAAAAACTGCCTTCCTAGCTCTATATGGTTTTACCAATTTGTCACACTTCCTTTTGGGTTGTTTGGATTCCCATCTACTTTCCAGGAGCTCATGGACCTGCGTGCCCACTCTGCATATGCAGCTACTTATTTCGACAGGCAGGGGCGATGCTCAAGTCACTGAGGCTGGCCGGGCTCACAGCCAACACGAAGAGCTGTAGAGTTGGGCTTTTTTTTTAATAGTCTAATAAATATAAAATCATTGCCAGTGTGATCAGTAGCAAGTGTGTATTTGAACAAAACGAAACAGCTCTATAATGGCAGGCAAAACAACGTTACTTTACTTCTTTTCTAAAAACAATATCATTCACGAGAAGAAAGACAACCTGTACAACCTGTACCTGTACGGCCAACACACTCTCACTCCCTAAGCGTCCAGGAGTGACGCTTGGTCAGGGTCCCGTGGCGTGCAGTTGTGACGCGCCGAGGCTCCTTCAGCTTCATAAACGGACGCAAAGAGCTTTCAACTGGATCTAAGCCGTACAGTGTGCGGCCCTGCCTCTTCAGGGCGTACACCACATCCATGGCGGTCACAGTCTTCCTCTTGGCGTGCTCGGTGTAGGTGACGGCATCACGGATCACGTTCTCAAGGAACACCTTCAGCACACCGCGGGTCTCCTCGTAGATCAAACCGGAGATACGCTTCACTCCGCCACGGCGAGCCAGACGGCGGATAGCGGGCTTGGTGATGCCCTGGATGTTATCACGGAGAACTTTACGGTGACGCTTGGCGCCTCCTTTGCCGAGTCCTTTTCCTCCTTTTCCTCTTCCACTCATTTTCGAGTCTTGGTAGATCGGGTCGTTCTAAACGAATGAGTAGAAACAGTATGACCGGCAGTATTTAAATAATAACTGCGGACCTAAGAGAAGACGGAGAGCGGGAAAGCTGCTAGGCGGGGCCAATGCTGCAGCCTCCACATTATCTTTCAAAACATTTTGTCTTCTTTTAAATATTGTTTATATAATTCGCGGCTTTATAGTAAGCGTTTGATGATTAAACGTTCGTTAATATGTAATAAAACCCCCGATTAACATTTATAATTGAAAAAATACAAGAAGACAGAACATATATAATTGTTAAATGCTGTATAGCCTATACAGTTAATGTAAATAGTTTATAATGGATCAGGAAACTGAATTTTGTATGCATTTAACATGTCAATAGTTATTGACACGGTATACACAGACCCTGAGTTAAGTTGCGCTGCCATCGCAACAATGATTACATTAATAATCAAGAAATGTACCACATATTTAATGATACATTTAATATGCTAAGTAACAGACAAATAAGCATAACACTTGTTGTAAGGTCATACAAATATATATTGCATGTTAGTTCACCAGTCCACTAGGTGGCACTGCGACATAGAAGTTGTTGCCGTTCAATAAGCATAGAAGAATAACTGTGGGCTATGTTACGTTATGCTAAACTAAGTATGTGGTGAACCTGAGTCACAGTTCTGTTCTGCCAGAAACTAATAAACTCCTCCATGCTCACAAGAAGCCTCCCGTGAGTTACTACACACTGCTTCGATTCATATATTAATACTGTATATATTTGAGCTCTTGACGTTGGTCCATTAATTACAATTTTGTTTCAGTAATGGAAACATTCTTCTTTTGTTGATAGTGATTTTTGACACATTGTATTTTATTTAGAGCATAAATAATAGATATACGGTATATTTATTCTGTAGCTCAGAAAGTCAGATCCACCGGAAACTGTATAAAAAATATATAATTTGTCTCACATAAGACAGTTAATTACTTAACTAGGGGGATCTAAATCAAACTAGACAATTATTAGTTAAAGTGGACCTATCATGCTATATTTAAATGATATATTGTAGGGCCATACCTATATAAGGTATATTTATACGTTTCTGTTTTCAAAATACCAAACAGATCATGCATTTTAGCCATGCCTCATTTCGCTCTATGTGCTGTTTGTTGTCTACGGGTCTGATTCTGCTGACCACGCCCCCCTGCAGGAGAGGGGAGACGTGCTCTGATCAGCTGCTGGGCTGTCAGAAGAGGGGGAGAAAAAGAGATCTCCGTCCTCCGTGTTTTATTATATAGAGTCGTTATTCATTTGTTTTAAAGCTCAATAAATAACAAAGAAGACCTTTGACCGGCACTTTTCTAATTTTGTCCGGAAGATTTAAACTTTAACGGACATCTTGACCGGCGAAAGAAACTGAAACTGAAACTCTGCCGCACGGTCCCCTCGTTCCTTGGAAGAGGCGGAGAGGTGGGTGTTTGTCATCTGCTGGTGGACTAACCGGAGAGAATTACAGTGCTTGCCTCGACGGGGAGGGATTGCATTGAATTAAAGCAGCGGGAGCAAACGCTTGCCTCGGGGAGGGAGAAAAAACGACACAGCGGAGAATAAACAGAAGGGTAACCATGGTAACTATGGGCGGGAAGTCTTCTTCGCTGCTTTTGTGGCAGACTACAGCGCCACTTACAGGCCTGGCATATGTACTACAGCGTCTCCAGCGCTTTCAAGCGGCAATGGCCGGCCGTGGCCCAACCCCACATTCCCCTGATAGGTGGAGAGTATGGAGGAAAATAGAAGTGACATAACAGATTAAGCAACCTGGTTGGTAGTAATGAATTTAAAACCAAGTAGATGTAGAAATATTTTTAAGAAATGTAGTGATATTTACAATTTAAATTCTTTAGCCCCTTTATAGACGGTCTGTTGAGTGATGGGTTATAATAGTCACTTATATCAGAGAGAAGAGTTAACTGATAATTTGTTGCCAGCATCTAGGAAAGGTCTCTCACTTAGACTCCGCAGTAATGCGAGGGAACCTCCTCGCTGGTATATTACAGAACATTTAGAAAATTATTTTGACATTAGTCTTAGGGAGCTGGAGGAAAGGTCTACCTCTCCTCCTCCGGATAAGAAGTCTAGGACTTCTGTGCCTCCAAACTGATCTTTTGCAGCAGCTGACCAGACGGGCCACCATGAGAGAGGGCCCCAGGAATGCTGAGGACCTGACCTGCCTACATTGCACCGTTAAAAGTGCAGAGTATCTTGATTTATTTTGAACATCATTCTTTAGATATTTAAAGAAATGTTAAAATCCTTTTATTTTGCTTTTTGACTACTTATGCTCATGCTGTTGAGCCATTGGCTTTGTGTTGTGAAAACCCACTTATATACACAGTGGTGCATATCCATGTTAAGAAGAAAAAGAATGAATAAAATGTGGTTTCTGATATACAGGATAGTTATTCATTATATTCTTTTAATTTTTGGTTGACGGTATGATAATATTCATTTATTTTGAGATAAGTTTGTTTTTGCTTTTGTTTCTTACTTTTAAAATAAGATTTTATAGCTTGTGTGTATTACCCTGAAGTAAAATGTTAATTGCTTTTGTCTTCTGCTTGACTGTTTCAGGTAAGCGTTTTCAAGGAGTCAAACACCATGCTGAGCCTAACACATAGTGAAAAACGTTTTTGTAGGAGGTGCAGATGGTAAAGGTAAAGAAGTAGTGTGTCACCCTCCCCAGTGATGGTAGCAGAGAGGGGGCCGCCAGCCTGAGGGGCCAGGCGGTGGACGGAGGATTTTGACTGCCCTATAAGGGTACCTGATAGTTCAAAGTTCCTGGCACTAATAAATGTGTATTGTCCTTAACCCTAATCAGCGCCATCCAAACCTGGTCAGTATGCCACGGCCAAGAGAGGGTGTTGACAGTTCTGCTGTGTAAGTGGCCGTGTCATACCTGACCTTTACCTCACCTACCTCTATTAAGCTTACCATTGATAAAAAGATGCTAAATTGGCTGTGAATGGAAAGGATGTATGTTTCCTTCTTTGTTGTTTCAGGCATATGAAACCAGGCATGTGAAGCGAGACAGAACATCCTGAACTTTTGACCTATACACACACACATTCTAGATCAGGGGTGGGCAATTATTTTTTACAAGGGGCCACTTCAGAAACTCGAGCTGTGTTGGGGGGCCGAATCAAAAATAAGTTGAACTTAATTCTGCTCAATATACCAATACTGAAAAGGTGTTTTACAGTATGTTAAAGATAAGAAATGAATCAGCTTTATACAAAAAGAAATTAGTGCTTTTGATTTTTGTTTTTCAGTTAATTTTACTTGTTCAGTGAGAAAAATCCAGTCTGTCTTGGGCTTGAACAAGTGCACGGAAATCTGGTTCAATGTCTGAGGTGGATATGCGAAGGACAGCTGAGAGGTGATCATCAGTGATAGAGGATCTGTATCTGGATTTGTTGAACTTCATCACTAAGAATGTCTGTTCACATATGTAGGTAGATCCAAAGAGGACCATCATCTTCTGAGCACGTCTCCTGATGTGTGGAAAGTTCTCCTCTTTCAGGGAAGAGTAAAACTCAGGCAGTGAGACTGACCTAAAGTGCTCTGACAGAAGTGTGTCAGACTGCAGGTTAATGAGTTCAAGCTGAACATCACTGGGTGCATCATCCACATGGCATGTAAATGGGGAAAAGATCATGTTCATTTCATTCTCAACTGTTTTGAAGTCTTTAAATCGCCTTGAAAACTCACCATGCAGTGCTTCTAACATGGATGAGTACCTCTGGAGGTGATCAGCTGATGGTGTGGCTTCCTTCAGTGTTGGCAAGTGCGTGAGAATGTTGTCCTCCATCTGGCTTGAGAGAAGCTGCAGCTTTCTCATGAAAGCCTTCACTGCACTGTACATGTCATGCACAAAAAGGCCCTTGCCTTGCAGTTTGACATTTAGTTCACTCATTAGTGCAGTCACATCTACAGCAAAACCAAGGTCTGCCATCCAGTCTGCATCTGAAAGCTGTGGGATGTCGTTTCCTTTCTTCACACAGAAGTCTTGAATCTCTTCTCTCAGGTCCCATACTCTTTTCAGCACTTTGCCCAGGCTGAGCCACCTGACAGCTGCATGGTAGGGTATGTCACGATGTTCAGTCTCACTTTCCTCCAAAAGTGCAACAAACTGTCTGTGATTCAATGCTCTTGCCCTGATGAAGTTAACTATTTTAGTTACAACATCAACAACATGGTTAATTTTTAACACTGACTTACACAACACTTCCTGATGTATAATACAATGCAAAAATACCTATTTCTGCTCAGGGTTAATTTCTGTCACTTTATCCTGCATTCTCTTCAATAGTCCAACATTTTTCCCTGTCAGATTTGGACAACCATCCGTTGTCACGCCTGCCAGCTTGTCCCATTTCAGTCCCAACTTTTCCACACATGCATTTACCTCCGTGAACAAATCACTCCCTGTTGTTGTACCTTTCATTGACTGCATGGCTGCCAGCTCCTCCGTGATTTTGAAGTCTGTAGTTATCCCACGTAGGAAGATGAGTAGCTGGGCAGTGTCACGTACATCGCAGCTCTCATCCAAAGCCAAGGAAAAAAAGTCAAAGTTGACCGCTCTGTTCTGCAGCTGAAGCTCCAGATTTCCCGCGATGTCCTCAATTCTCCTCGTAACAGTGCGTCGGGAGAGCGGCACTTTCTCAAATGCCTCCTTTTTCTCCGGGCATATTAGTGTCCAACAAACACTCCTTAATGAACTCTCCGTCCGAAAACGGTTTACTTTTAAGACATAACTCGTCTTGACAGCTGCATCTCTGGATGTGGAATGTTTTGTGAAAATGTGTTGTTGGCTTTGCAGCTTAGCTAGCAAAGCATCCGACCCCTTTGCCCACTCTTCCTCAGACAGGTTCTTGTATTTATCTGCGTGTTTGGTAGCATAGTGGCGACTCAAATTGTACTCCTTGAACACAGC